GAGGCGTGTTAAGCGATTTTTGTTGGTTTGGCTTGTGAAACCCTAAGATCTGAACATTTGCTTTGCTTTACCTTAGTTTGGAGCGCAGCCAACGCTAGGGGCTGATAAAGCCAATGAAGCAGCGCCAAGAGCCCGAGGTCAAGCTGTTTGTTCTCTTTCTGTGCCTATGCGGTCGGGCTAAACTAGAACAACTAAGTAAGCTTCGCTTCATAGACATCTTGGTGCCTAAAATATTGGTCGTCAGTTATCTGAAGCTTTTGAAATTACAGGAAACGCGTTTCCGTCCTCCAGAAAGGTTGAAACAGTTCGCGACAAAGCAAAGCAATATTACGCGAGCTGCCTGACACCGAAACTAATGCTGTGGAGGTAGCACTTTTGAAACATGACGATCGGCAGTTGCGTTTGATTGGTTACTAATTACCAAGATGGCGACGCCCACAATAATATCGGGGGAAAAAGTTTCGATACTCTAAGCGTAGCTCATTTGGTTTAGCTCACAGGCTAAACCAAGTATGGCGGGGGATCGTTGGCCGAGTGTGTATAGTGACACCGCAGATCAGAGCACGTAGAGAAATGCTCGAGCGCGAGCTCCGTTCTAAACACGGAGCGCACGCTGCGGAACCCAGCGTTGGCAGAACCTGTAGGGACTAAATCCCCTCGATGTGTTTGCGTTGGTCTTTCAAATAACCTCAAAGGTGCCAGTGCACGAGGCCCGTGTCTCAAGCGGCCCTTGGAGGCAAATGGCGGCGCAGCACTAAAATGACTGTCCCTTGAAAGCGAATGGCAGCGGAGCACCCGCTCGTGGCACGTGTCTTGCGCGTTTCTACGACAATAGTTGGCGGAACATGTAAAAATTCCTTCATCAAGAGGCTTTAGCAGGGACCCTAGGGTCAGTCGCCCATCTGCATCCTACCGTCGTGCGATCATGTACCACATATACTGCGTAATGCACGTTAAAGACCGCGAGCGAACAGTTGTACTGCACTTTTTATAACCTTCAACGGGTAACAATGTCGCCTTACGAAACTCCTGCTCTCTAAAAAAACTAACGACTAATTTTGATTGCGCCGTTACATTGCATTTTTAATGTGTGTTCGCTTGTTCGCGTTTTTTTTTTTTTGTCTACATTTTTTATTATGTGGCCCTTACTTATGATGAACCAGACTATAGGTGTCGGACTTCTGGAAAAAAATATTATATAACTAAGAAAATGGCACGTAACGCAACAGACAAAAAAAAAAAAAAACACACATAGGCGCACTTAATACAAAATAATTGAAATAATAGAATTGATTATAATTCTGTTTTCAAAGGTTTCAGCGTACCAAGAGCTATAAAAAACGAACTCGATGCTTTGAATGGTGCGTTTGTTCACTGGAAGTATAGTTCAGGGCAGTATGCTTGCACTTGTATGTTCCGATTCGCTCGAGGGGTAAAACCAAATACTTTACTGATAATGTATTTAGTGAAACAAAGCTTATCTTCTGTATATGTGCAACGCCCTCAGTGTTCGCGTGATTACACGCTTGTTTATCATAATTGTTTTCGTTTCCCACTGCGATTCAGTTCGTGTTCTTTTGTGTGCTACATGCATTAGAGACCAAGGTAACCCAGGAGTATTAATTTTGCGGATTGTAAAAAAGCCTATGCAACTTGCCACGTGCGCCACAATCAGTACAAAATATTAAAAGCATCACATATGACCGCTTGCCTGAGTAAACATTGTTGTTTGTCAAGAACTCGTTCTAAGCACGCGACCGTTAGCCTGCAGTGAATACTCATAATCGGCGCCGAGATGATTGGTAGCTGTCAGCAGGCGGAGTTTTTGTATTAACTCAAACTTGGAATGTTTCCTTCTTTCTGTTGTAAGCAATGAGGAGAGGACTTACACCAAATCTGAGGGTAATAAATTACAATGAGCATTCAAACATAATGGCCTGAGCAGTATAAGTGTACAAGCTTTAGCCTTTGATGCACACTTAAGTTTCGATACACTCAACGCTAGTGTAAAATGTAGGGCCGTTTCATTCTTAAGTACAATGTGAGGGCTTACACCATATTTTGATACAATGTCAAAATCTACCCGTTTGCATATTCTTTTTCATTTTTCGCTCATTCTCTGCCAAAAGGAAGCGCTAGGTTACAACCAGATGCCAAAGTTTCATTCCGAACGGGCACCTTATTCAAAAGTTATAAGTGATTTTCTGAAAATTTCAATAGGAAAATGAAGCCCATTTTTGCTCGTTTTCGGTTTCTGGTGCCCGTAGAGCCCCATGTATTCGAAAACTCCGCCGGCCGCCATTTTCCCAATGAACTTCTCAGCAAATCACTTATAACTTTTGAATAAGGTATCGGATCGGGCTGAACTTTGACATCTGGTTGTGGCCTCTAGCGCTGCCTTTAGGCGGAAAATGAGCGTTCGGCGATGCTTAATTTATTCTTGCGGTAAAAAAAAAAAAGACCCTGTAATGTTTTTGTTTGTTTTGTGACATCCTGTACATTGCTTAAACTGTGGAAAAGCTATCCACATACTAAGAATCTATGCCTGGCCAGTCATTGCATTTATCGCTGATTTCGTATTAGAATTAATTATTTTCATTCATTGCTGTGAATTAATTTTTAACCTCGGTATTTTCTTCTTTTTTTTTATTATGAACCCGCACCAGCCCTACTTTGCGTTTACCAAACTCAACATCTAAACCTGAGTGCCATTTTTTGTGTTTTCTAGTCTCGTGGTGTTGGTCAAAATAAACACCCAGCTACCTAAATGAGACTCCTGACCGCCCAAAAAAGTTTTTTTTTATAAATTATTTTTTAGGTAGTTAATTTATCAAGCTAGAATTTTGGAAACCCAAGTCCATTCCGTCATCTCGTTTTCCTGGAAATCCACAAAGAGCCAAACACATGCACGACAAAAGGGCCGGCCCGTCATACTCCCGCCCGCAGAGCCGAGAAAGCAACGCTCGGTCACGGACTTCTAAAAGATTCGCGTTCATTCTTGCACCAGACGTAACTTTCGCCCTGTTTTCTTGTTCTCGAAAGTGCCAGTTCATCCTCGCCCCGAGCGCGCGACGCTCGAACCTTCTTTGCCGAACTTTCGAGATAGTAACGCACGGTAGATAAGCCGCTGCCAGCGACCTTGTCGAGTCACTCTGGCTCTCGCTCTCTGTCACGCTGCCGAATCGCCGCCTGCTTTTCTGCTGCCTTCGACGCGCTTTCCCTACTTTTTTTTTTGTTTGGCACAAGTTCCCCGATTAAACCTTTATTTTTCAGTTGACTACTCGTCCTCTCGCCACCCTCATTCGTGTCAACATAAATCTGATCATATTAAAATATGTGTAATTGGCCTCTGAAATCGCCGATAACGGCGCACAGGCAATTTTATAATTTTATATATTTCAACTCGTCGGTGGTTTGGTTCTCAATGTGTCTCGCCATTTGGCTCAGGACGATTTTCGCGTTTTGTTCTGCCTACATTTTCTAGAGACCTGAGCTCGGAGCGTAGGCAACTGGCCCCCTTGCACGAGAACTGGCGCAGCTAGGCGCGTTCCAAAGAAAGCTCGTGCAGAGAAAAACAAGCAAGGGACCAGGGATGCCAAATTCAGGAGATAAAAAAACACCCCACTGTATCGAAGCGCCACCACAGACGATTTTTCGGATTGATGTACAGGCCTGGAAGGTGATCTCACCGCCATCTGTTGGTTCAGAATCACACTAACCAAGGGTGGGGTTGCACCTTAAGGGCTAGCCATGTCCGTATGTCCGTCCGCCGACGGGGGCACGTGCTCCTGCTCGTGAGCTCACGCGCTCACGTGCTCACGAGCACGTGAGCACGTGCTCCCGTGCTTGTGTAGGGAAAAAAAAAAACGCATCTCCACGTGGTGAATGATGTTGATTGGGGCGAAGCTCTGGTGGTGCTTGTCTGCGTAGACGGTGAGCCGAAACATGCCGAGCCTTTCGTTCGTTTTCATTCATGTAAGAAAGAGAATGTGTGGTATGGAACGTGGTTGTATACGCATTTGAGCATTTGACCGCAGCGTGACATGGATGAAAACGAACGAAAGGCTCGGCATGCTGCGGCTCAGCGTCTACGCAGACAAGCACCACCAGATCTTCGCCCCAATCAACATCATTCACCACGTGGAGATGCGGTTGTTTTGTTTTAGAGCGGGAGCTGTTATGGGCTATTTCCCTTCACTCGAAATAATGTAGGGTGTTTGTAGTTGGAGAGCGTTACGTGACATTGTGACGTAACGGTGTCACGTGACAATATCGACAAACACCCCACAACTACAAGGCCCTCCATCATATCGAGTGGCGCGGGGGGAGGAGCCTATAACAGTTTTACGTAACATCGTCTGACGCCACACTGTCATGTGTTGTCATGTCAAGTGACGTCACGCTGTCATATGATGCCACGGTGTCATACGACATATCACACTGTCACGTGACATCATTGTCATCAAGTTGCGAATAGCTGAAATTGGGGAACGCGAGCTCGGGGAACTCTGCGATTCGTAATGTTGAAAAGAGATTTATAAACTGGGAGATAAATTGTTCCCCAAAACCACAAGAGAGTCGTCTAAAACATACTTAGATGTTTGTTTGTTACGGATTTAATATAGGTATTTCGTACGTCTAAGGCTGCGATCCTATAGATAGACCTATGACATGAAATTTTAAAAAGCTGATGTTCGGGAGTCTTTCTCCCGAGCTCACTGCTACTACACACTCCTTGGACAGTCTTTCGTGGGTCGCGTCCTTTGTGTACAAAAGCTTGGAACGCATGTCAACTTGTGGAGCACAAAATTCAAGTTCTCCCTCTCAAAACACATCAAAATCCAGGCAACATTACAGTCTAGTCTTCAACCAGACGCGAGCTACGGACGTAGACACCACATCCTCGTCCCTCCATTCCGCTGAGGAGTTCCAGCGAACCGCTTGCAAGTTGTTTCGTCACAGCGCGCCTTCAAGGGTAAAAAGGAAGCGCCCTAAATCACCTGGTCCGACTTTGTGATTTTCCCAGACCTGAGCGGATCACAGTCGGGGTAGTTGGCGTAGATAACCAGGCCAGCCAAGCAGCCCAGGCTGATGTTCATCATGACGCCAGGTATGTTCACGTACAGAGCCCTGCGACAGACAAAGCGACAGGTGAAGCAACACTTTACCGGGCCGTACCACCTCTTAACGGGGCAGTGAGTTTTGGACTTTCAAGAAATAGTGCTTAAAAACTTTCAGTAAATAGCGCTACAAAACTTAGCATATCGGGTACCTGATTTTTTTGAAGAATTATTTGGAAGTTGAACAGATATTATAAAGCTACCTATACAGATAAAAAAAAAAGTATTTTCAAGCCCCATTTAATATTTTTTGGCTGTTATTGTAAACCTGCCTTTTTCGGTGTTTGTGTTGACTCAATATTGTATAAATATCAATTCTTCTAGTCAGTAAAGCGTGACTGTATGCATTTTTCAATTTTTTTTTTTTATCTTTTAAGAAAACATTGTATTACTGGTGTCGATACGTCCGCCAATGTTCTGTGGTTGTGATTAATTGAAACCTTTATGTTCCTGTAACTTTTTTCACGCATTTTTGGAGGGCGTTGTGCACGGTTGTAAAAGTATCGTCAGGCGGCGTTAGTTCGCCTTTTGCACCATCCACCAAAACTAAAACTCTGAGTAAGGTCTTATTAATCTTATGAAATTAACCCTAGACGTTTTCTTAGCCTTCGAAGTAGTCTCCGTTTCGAAATATGATAGCACTTATAGAGCCAGCCTTAGCGCTTTTCCGTGTCCGTAAGCGCCTCAATAGGGCGAGCATCGGGGCAGGAAGCAAGTTTCAACCTCAATAGTGTGTCTCCAGATTTCGTCTTCAGCTGTTGTGATACGTAACACATTTAATGTTTAGTAAGATCTACCGAGAGGGGATAGAGAGGACACAACCGTGAGTTAGCAACACAACCAAGACACTCCGCTCGATTACGGAAGATTCAGTAATTAAATGGCGAAGTCAGAGTATCGCCTCTCTTTTTCTTTCGGCGCCAACTCCTCACTGGCGGAGAAGGGGTCCCACGCGACACACTGGACTACAACGTTTGCGAGGAAGCCGCCTGGAGGAGCACCGAGGGTTCGGAGCGAGACATGTGTTTCGCTTTGCACTCGGGAACTGCAGATATTCTAGTGAAGTATGACGAGCAGAAAGCTTCATGAACCATCTGACATACAATGTCGTCTATAAGACGTCTGTAATTGCATTATTTTTATAATGTGAGTGCAGTTCCAACACGGAAGTGCAAAAGCAGACGACGCGGCGTACGGGCCCGTATGTTCATGTCGCGCCCGTCGCGTCTCCTGCAAAAGTGACGTTGCCTTCGGCAATGCTAGGCGTCCAAAATTACTCTAAAATTACTTATACTAAAATTAACGCGAATGTGGATCCTCCCTAAGGATAGGTCAGCTCTCGGCGCACACTCCCGCATGGGTTTTCTCTTCGCTCGACAAGACACAGCCCAATCAGGGTGAAGCCTAGTGAAGTCCCTAGATTCTCTTGGAGCTTTTTACTAGCTGTTTGGTGGGAACAGCGCAAAAAAGGCGTAGCACAAGGACGAAGAGACACACAGACAGGGCGCTGACTTACGACTGAAAGTTTATTGCACTTCAAAAATTGAAATAAGCACAGAGAGGAGGAAGGAAAGAGAACAAACAAAGCAACCCGATAACATTCGGCATCAGCCACGCCCCCACACGCTGTCACGCGAACCTGCCACACTTTTTACCGAAATCTACATCGTCATCTGCAAGGGCAACAGAAGCAGCGCTCACACACGTGTCAGCTCCGATAGACGCCATAAAATACGCTTCGTCTATGTCCCTCGCAGTCTTGTTTTTGTGTCGAAACAAAATCTTTATATCATGAAATTATATAATAATAATAATAATAATAATAATATAAACTTCGCGGTGCATTGTGATAGGTGTGGCTGCTCGTCGTCATTTCATGATATAAAGATTTTGTCTCGACACAAAAACAAGACTGCGAGGGACATAGACGAAGCGTATTTTATGGCGTCTATCGGAGCGGACACGTGTGTGAGCGCTGCTTCTGTTGCCCTTGCAGATGCCGATGTAGATTTCGGTAAAAAGTGTGGCAGGTTCGTGTGACAGCGTGCGTGGGCGTGGCTGATGCCGAATGTTATCGGGCTGCTTTTTTTTTTTTTTTCTCTTCCCAACCTCCCTTCTACGTTTATTTCTCTTTTTGCAGAGCAGTTAAAACTTTCAGTGGTAAGTCAGCGTCCTGTCTGTGTATTTCCTCTTCCTGGTCCTAAGTCTCTTTCGCGCTGTTCCCGCCAAACAGTGTGTACCACAAACTAGCCCAACCACATGCCTTGCAACTTTTTACAAGTACTGACGTTCTTTGAAGAGCCGACTGCGTGACGGTGCAGGATTTGGAAAGCGGATGGCGGCCTACAGATGCAGTATGATCTGAACACAGGTCTACAAACTCCGGCCCGCGGAGGCGTTTTTGGCCGGCCCACAAATAACCGCAAATATTTCCACTACAAAAGAAACATTGTTGCGACGCGCATTGAAAGTGTCGTCGAAGATGCCAAAAAGAATGAGAGAACAATTAATATACCAAACGTGGGTTCTCTCGTCTTACTATTTGTTGCACATTGCCATCACCAGCATTCGTATTCGCAGTACCCCCGTTCCATGTCGGTGTAACTACAGGTTCATTTCATTTCCTTTGCGTTCCCACGTATATCGTGCTTAGTTTCATGCGTCATAACTATTGCACATTGTTATCATTCGATCTAGCATTGTGCCCCGTGTGATTATGGCAACGTTCCTAAGCGTTCTTATTTTTGCGTGGTGTGTTCTCTGGGTCACCATTATTTTATAACCTCATAGTCAGCAACGCGTTGCATTTAAAAATAAAAGAATGTAAGCGTTCATCCACCTCACAATTCATTTGAAAGTTTTGCTCTAATCTAGGTTTCTGTATTCAAAGGCTCTTGTAGGCCTACTTATTTAGTGCTTTCTCATTTTCCGGCCCTCGACACTGCGAGAGGCCAACGCCTCCTAGATACCAAGGCCTTCGTGCTAATAAAGATGTCGTCACTAGCGAAGGCCAACGCTGGTCGCAGATTGGACACGACGATTGCGTCAACGTTCGGCTCAAACTTAAAGGGGCGGTGCAATGATTTTAACACTGAACGAATGTGCAACTTGCATTTTTTATATTGTTTACTTCGGCATAAGTAAGAGAAAAAGTGCCACCATACCCCAAAATACCTCTATTTCGCTGCGTAATCGTAAAATAAAAAACGCTTTTTTTCCCAACCTGCGGCCACATGGTGGCCGCAAATGGAACCTGTGGTGTGACGTCATTCGGAGTGTTTTTTGTAAGTGATAGTGTTAGGCAATTGTAAGCTTGATTTAAGGTTAAGTTTAAAAAATCTTGTTGTTTAGGCATGCAGAAACGCTTCAAAAGCCTAATATTTCCGCTAAAAGGGTATGAATTATTTGTGGCGCCATCTACCGCAAGTCAACAAAACCTGCCGTCGCCGTCATCCGTCGACGCCCGAGGCGCCTACGGCGACTACACGAGCAACCCGGACGTTTTGTCTTTCCCTCGCTCGACGGAGTGCGTTGGTCGTGGTCCGTAGTATCGTGGTATCGTTATTGTTCCTGGTGTCTCGACCTCGACTTCGACTGCTCGCCGCGTCGCAAGCATCTTGCGCTCGACGTCGCTCAGGCCGTCCGCCCATGCCGCCATGTTGGTCGGGAATCGGCGGGAGAGCGGCGAGCCTGGCGAGCCGGCGAGCGCTGGGGAAACGGAAGCCAGAAGAACCCAACCGGAAACCAACGCCACTCCGAATGACGTCACAGGCGAAGCTGGTGCCGCTTCAATGTTGAGTTGAGGGGTGCCAGAGATATCAATTTTTTTTTTTTAATTAAAATTAGGGCAAGTAGGAAACAATGGTTTTCGGTCCTTCGTTTCATATGTGGCCGGGATCAATTCCCGCAATTAATTAGCCAAAGTTCGCAAATTGTTGCACCGCCCCTTTAACTCGAAGCCGAGCGCCCAGACGCAGCCCTTGTTTCGGATCTGTGTCCAGCGTTGGCCTTCGCTGGTAACGCAAAAATGTCAGCTCTACGGCCTTGTCTTCTAAGCGGTGTTGGACAGGCTCCCAATCTGGCCCCTCAGTCGAAACGTTCGGAACCCTCGAACTAAAAGACGCCGATTTGTACCCGTAAAACGCGTTTCGTCATACCTGATGGACGTCGTCACTCGGAAAAGGAAGTACCGAGCGACTTCAGAGCTTAGGAGATCATCTAATTGCCGAAAATATCTCGCGTGACGTCGTGGTCGTTTTCCTGCTCCGGTTAACACGACGCGTCGTGTATTCGGCGCGGAGTCGTTAGCAGAAGAGCGCGAGGATCGGGGTAAGTGCATGTTTCCGTGCTGGACTGCAATAAGCGAGGCTTGCAGGCCAACTATTTCCTTCCTGGGCTTTCCTTGCCGCCAACGGATCCGAGAAAACAACTTCTGGGATCTTATTATTCAGCTTCCCGCGAAAAGCTGGAAGCCAACACTCGTGCCCCGTGTTCGGTCAGAAAGGAACGTTCGGCTTTTGAGGAATGTGTTTATTCTTCTTCCTATCCTTTGTCTTCTTTTACAGTCTCCCACAATATAAAAGGCCCAATCACCGATGCAGTTCATGCGGCGGTGATAAACACACTTCAAACAATTTTTTTTCTTTTTTTTTTTTTAGCACCGTAAAATGTTGCGCGTGCCTTAAAGTTGTGTAACGTGAGCAAATCTTACGGATTTCGCCCAAAAAGTTTCGAATCATGCATTTGCGTTAACTAATTAAAAAGGTTGTTACTCCAAAGCAATTGAGAACCTAATTATACAGGACATTATTATTTTTCTAAAAAACCAATAAAACGTCAATATTTTTTGTCCGATTTGTTTTCTTTTTGGCAGGAACAACTTGACCCGTGTTATTTCCTGATCCAGCTGTCGCAAAAATGTTTCATGGCGATATCGACTGGTGCACTTAAAGTGGTTCCGGGTTGCTTCCTTGTGTGTTTGCCTGTTATGCGCGAGCGATCCGCGACTCCAAGCCCTCACTTTCAGGCCCTCACTAAACACATTCGTTTTTTCTCCCCCACGCGACCAACAATCTCGTTGCATAAGAATACTTCAGCGCGAGAATCTCACTGGGTAGGTTCGAACATAGAACTGCCGTTTGCTTAGTTGGAGTCGCAAATATGGAATGTTTTGGAATTGCCGCAAGCCTAGCGGCGGATTTCGCCAAGCAGACAGTGCGCGGTGGAAGCTACGTGCTCGTTTGCCTCGCTCCCGCCCAGTGGCGTACCAACTTGTTTTTGAGTGGGGGGGGGGGGGGGGGGGCAAACCAGACCTCCCCCCCCCCCCGCCGCCGCCGCCGCCGCCCCCCAGGGCCGGGAGGCGGTGCCCTTGTTATCACTTGGGCGCCGCCGGCCAGTGTTTGCCCTTCCCAGTGGCGGCTGTTTCAGGGGGGGGGGGACACATCCTTTGCCCCCCCCCCCCCCCCATTCTGAGAACTGGGGGGGTAAGCGCCCCCCTTGCCCCCCCCCCCCCTCCCCCGCCCGGTTGGTACGCCCATGCTTTCGCCCATCGCCCATAGATAGATCGTCAGTCAGGCGATGAAATGGAAGGCGGGCGTGTAGCTCCCGCCCCACCGTCAGCTTAGGGGTGAATAGTAGGCTCTCGTTCGATGCACCGGTGCAGAAAAAGGGCAGTGTACTTTCGGTATATGTATTGAGATACGACTGCCCAACACTTTTCTGCACCGGTGCACGGTGTGCGAATAAATCGAACGAGCCATGGGACAACGAATAACTTTCGCCTGTTTGTTCATGCAGTCCATCGTTAAAACGCGCATTTTCTGTTGTGATTTATTTAATCGTTCCTCTCTACTGAAACGAGATGACGAAAGGTACCGTCTAAAGCAAAACAAACTAAAATAAAAAAAGAAGAAAATATGAAAGACGTTTACAAATCTTTGTAATGCGATACTAGATAGAGCTCAGCTTTTGAGGAGGAGCAGGGGAGGGGGGAAGGTATGCCCCTCCTCCTCCTCCTCCTCCTGCCGCTGAATTCGTTCATAGGTGACGTGACACGAAGTCGTGACGTTATTTTCCCCGCTAAATATCGCGGGTAAATTGAATTGGTATTGAGGTCACGTGACGTCAATTTTTCCCCTAAATTTAGCGGTGAAAATTCTATAATGCAATGCGCATGGTTACGCCGACGCCGACCAACCCGGAGACGGGCGCCTAAGAGGCTGCGCTCTAAACAGAGAATAAAAATCCCTAAACAACCAATCACACACACAAAAAATAGGATATTCATAGGGTTTGTTGCCTACGCCCTTGGCTTAGCTTTGTGGTAGACTCTCCAACACAAATATATATATATATATATATATATATATATATATATATATATATATATATATTTATACATATATAAAGTAAAAACTTCGTGCTTCTCAAAATAAGTGCGAAACCAGCATAACGCATCCGCTTCCTGCTTTTGTCTAAAATTTTATGATAATGCGGGAGTAACAAACACTCAGAAACCTATACCTAACAAACGAAAAAAAAAAAAGAAAGCAAGTAAATAGTCGACTTCGTGACGTCATCCTTCCCTAATGCTCTTCCTCTACAGTAAAACGTCGAAAAAAGCTTCTCTCGAGGTCCGAAAGCAAATGACCGCCATAAAAAAAATACACAACGCGCACCGCAAAAAAAAAAAAAAAGAAAAAGAAAAAAAAAAAAAGAAAAAAAAAGAAAAATGCGATTGCGTGTTATTTGAGTTTGGGGTCGTCAAAAATGACGCTTTCCGACTTCCGGTTGGTGCTCTGTTTGCGAGAATTGGCGTCTAGATCTCCTACTGGTCCCTCGGACACTTTTTGGATTCTTCGACCCGCTACAGTCACCAAAATCTTAGGAAATGGTCGCAAGGCGTGGCTCGTATGCTTCCTTCTTCGTGATTCGTTCTTCGCACACTTACGGAAAATAGTGCATTCTTACTGGGTGCGCACCAATATATACTCCCCTCCCTCCCTCCCTCCCTCCCTCCCTCCCTCCCTCCCCCCCCCCCCCCCTCCCGCGAATGTCATTCACCCCCATGTATTCGTTGGTTGTATCGGCCACGATGTTCCAACCGAACATTTCCGAGGTCGCTTTTAAGTTACAGCTTCAGGATACGATCACGGTTAGTTCTGAAATTTTGGCATCTGGTCCGGACCCCTCGAGCTACATACACTTGGGCGTAGGCTGAGCGTTCGGCGATTTGCAGTTCAGTTTTGCAAAGGGAGAGAGAGAGAGAGAGAGAGGACACCCTGTACAATAAGCGGAGGCACCCGAACGTACACGTGCCGTCCAGGAACTCTTTCGCAACAGTCACGATGCCAAAGAGACGCGGATATAGTGTAGGCCACTACAGCTGTTCCGCCAAAACGTTGATCCCGGTCTCGAGAATGCTAATAAAGACAAATCGAAACAAAACAACAAAAAAGGGGCACGCACGTGCAACCTCTGCCTTCTTCTACCTGTAGCCTATAGCGGGCACTTAAACTCTTCGTCTTATATAGAATACCAGGGACAATAAAAACCCTCTTTGACCCCGAGTTATCTACGCGGTGCTGTAGTAAATTAATACACCGGCATAAAAATGTATCTAGATAACGAAAGGCTGCGAGTATCCGAGAAGCAATCCCGTATAAATAGTCCAAACAAACTCCCCAACATATACAGGAGGTCCCACGAGGCGCTGTTATCTCTAAGACAATTGCGCTACCTGAAAACAATTGCGGCGGAGTGTAAGGTCGTTCACCGAACGCCGAGGAAGGTGCAAGAATAAACACGCTGGTGGAGCTTCGATAGGACGCTCCATGTCACCGCACCACCTGGCCAAAACTGAACTGTACACCCGTGAGCGATATGAAGGTGAACATCCCTCTTTTCGTTTCTGACGCTCCTGTAAGTTTTGGAACAAGCTCTGTTCCAGAAGAGGGCTAGAACGCAAAAGTTTAGACCCTTGGCCACGTACCATTTGAGACGTTGAGAGTTAAAGTGGGAGCCGCATGGAGCGTTTCTGGTCGCGATTCAGGCGCGTCGGCGTCAAATCGACGTCATTTCCTGCGCGCGGCCGCGCGTTTTCGCGGGAGCGTTGGTTCCTAGCCGACCCAGAACAAGACGCGCGCGCCGAGGCGTCGAAGCGGCTCTCGCCCAATGAGGGTCGGTCGAACTATCATGTGATCCTGCGCAGTCCGCTGTTTCGTATTCAGAACATTTCAAGGTATTCAAAAGCATTTTTATTTTCCATATAAAAATTGAAAGGGTGTTCCTTTTGACATACAAACCCGTTTTATTTACTTATTTGTTCATTTATTTCTCATTTTGTAGTATTTGCGTCAACATTTACATCGCGTGTTGAGAATGCTGTTATCTGGCAACGCTGATAACGCGCGGCCGGCGGTGCTTGGCTTTGTCTGCATGCGGGTGCCCCCGCGTCAGCTTCCGCGCGAGCGTTCATAGCGCGTCGCGTTTTCGCGTGTAGAAAAACGCGCCATGCGGTCTGCGCTTGATATAGCTTTAGGGAGCCGTAAAACAGGCAAGAAACTAGGTAAGGTGTTCACCTTCATATTGCTGGCGGGTGTACTTCGTTTTTAGACGCAGCCAACGCTACGAGCCGAGACCAAACAGACAGCGTCAAAAGCGCACCGTCATGGTGTTGGTCATGTTTCGGTGCGTGTTCTATAGCTGAACCAATCATAGAGAGAAAAGGTCTCGTGACATGCGCTTCTGACTCTGCTTGATTGCTTCCATTACGTTATAGCGTCGACTTTGTCTATAAACTTAAAAAGGGCACTGGAATAAAAAAAGAATAAAAACTAATAAAACAAGTAGTTTATTTTATTTTTTTCTTGCACAAAACAAATTGTAATATTTACGCCGTTAGATACAATTTCGGTGGAGGTCATGGCCTGCTCTAAGCCCGCCCTCGGACTACTGGCCCCGCCCATTACTACTGGATTGGCTTGGCTAGCTCGGCAGAACAGGCTCCTCGCAGTCACGACGTCCGATGCGTCTAGTTTCGCGTCTGATATCGCGCGCTAGTCGTGCGAGCAGATGCGGGGCAGCCTCTGGCATCGTCTGCTATTCCACCACCGCCTATCGTCGTCTGCAACGCCCGTAAGACGCAGCCGTGAAAGCGGCGCGTCGGCGTCCGTTATCGCCTGCTTGCGTCTGCTGTTCCACCCCCGTCTCAAAACGTCGGCAGCGTTCGCAAGACACGACCATGACAGTGGCATTTTAGCGGTCTATCATGGTAAAATCACGGTCCAACACAAGTGTCTTGGAGCGTGACTGCTGCGCCGCGACCCGGTTCTAAAACGAAGCTTGGGAGTTTCGGTACTCTGAGAACATTCAGTAACTTTAGTGATGACGTTTGAGGAAAAAGAGCTTGGACCTTGTCTTTTAGGTGGTGTACTGGCTAAACACACCAGTCGGAGACACTTTTCAAGCATCATTCCGGAAGTGCAAACGTGTTTCGTAAAGCCGCCATGTACTATACGGACACGACGACAACAACAAAAAGGTAACTGAAAGAAGAAAGAAAAAAAAAACTATCCGCAAAGTAAAACAACCAGTTCTCACGTCTTGGCCTTCTTGAGCGTCGACACGCTGCAGAACCTCTGCACTTGCGTCTGGCTGGTGCCGTACGAGGCCAGCCACACGAACGTGGTGCCCAGCAACACGTTCCACAGGGACACCGAGGAGTGCAGGTTCACCTTGGTACTGAAACACGGTCGGCCGACCATTAGATCCGTGTCAGCTCAAGTTCACAAATGAGCTCGAGCTGACACGTCTTTTATTATCGAGGAAAACTTGCTAGGGCAAAGCGCTTGAAGGCACGGCAGCTCTTTATGTCGGTCCCACTTCGGCAACCCTGAATTCGCTTATTTTTTTATTTTTTTTTTTAAATTTTATTTGTTCATAAAACAATGAAACACCTTACACGTCAGTAGACATTCGTTTAGAGGTTTACGTTTTGTTCTCTTTCTGTTGCAATGGTAAGATAAGTGGGCTCGCCGATATTGAATTATGAATACGTCACAGCGTGCACGAACAGCGTTCACGGCGTCTTCAACGCACTGTTATACACACTATAACAGCACCCGTGTCATTTTGTCTGTTTTGTCTTTTTTTATGTTCTACTAAACTCCCGCAAAACTCTCACCTGCAAAACTCTCTTTCACGAGTGTTTTTTTTTTAAGTATTTATTGTATGTAACTGTAAGTCTCAAAATAATATTACTGCATAGGCGCACTTTAGGAACTCTGGTTCTCCACACCGAAATTCCGGAAGAACACACAAATTCGACCAGTTCGAGGAGCTTACTTGAAAAACTGTATCCGATCACCTTGCACCGCGGTCGACCACACGTTTCGGAAACCTCCCACTTTGATGACGCCCTGCGATAAAATTACGGGAAATAAAATCGCGTAAATGCATGTTGGAAATGCTGTGGAAACACGCGATTAAAGGTGAAAGACGAAACAATACAAAACACCGGATATGGTTGGAGTGTCAGTAAGTGGAAATGCAAACTGTTAGTCAATCAATAGCTACAACAACGTGTAGAGGTTAAGGAACTGTCGTTCTTACGACTGCCGGCGAGTCTACCATCGGTGGCCACCTGCTTGAAGACTGGGCATGAGCACTGACTTCACGTTACCGAACGCGAACTCACTTCAGGGCCGGCTTGCTAAAACCAGGCGTCTCAGCTGAGACTGTGTCAAAGAAAGCACTGCCAAAGTTAACGCACGAGCAGAGCGGCACGCGAAGTCGAGTCCCAAGCACTCGAGCGCCTCAGGCTTGGCAAGCTTTCTCGTCCAAAGTCTAAGACGCTGATTCTAGGAAGCCGACCGAGTGCGCGCAATAAATAACGAAAGGTCGAGTTCTTTCAAAAACAATAAACTATGCGGAGAGCAAGTCGTCTGCTTCCTGCGGAGGAGTTGCGGTGACGTCAGAACAACGCCGAGCTCTGATAGGCTCTAGCTGATTGAAAGGATAGTGGGTAGAGCTCAATGCTCGATGCCTTAAGGTGTACCCACTTCTTTTTTTCTGTTCTTAACCAATGAGACATCCGCGTCCTGACATCGTCGCAACCCCTGTGTAAGGAGGAGACGAATTTGTGCTCCCCAGAGTTTCGGGCGTATAGACCCTCTCTTCAAGGGCGCCGCCATCTTGAATTGTTGTCACTTCCAGTATGGGCGAAAACATTGTTTTGCCGTCGCCACGCCAGTAAAAGACACTCAGGATATAGGCGTAACCGTCACACATTCTCGTTTTGCCTCAACTTTATTTTTTTACTAGTTGCAGGTTGAACCGTTTTAGTATTTTTTCGTCACCCATACCGAATACGCCTATTAGGTGGCTGGGGACGAGAGTACACATAAAAGGTCTATACACCTTTTACAAAAAGGCGCGCGCAGCCATCTTGAATGTCGTCATTTCTAGTATGCGTTAAAACACGATTTTGGATATCTCCGTTCACGCCGCTGGAAGGTGTTGAGGAAAAAGGCGTGATTGTCACACTTTCTTGTTGTGCCTCACCTATGCTTTCTCGCATATTCCAGGTTGAAAGGTCTTATTACTTTTTTCGTCTCGCATACCGGATAGGGAACCCACGAGACTGAGAACGAAAGGAAACGAAAAACGTCTTTACGACAGACAGGCGATGCACGTTAAAACGCCTAGACATAACAGTTCGAGAGAAATATTATATTACACTATCGACCCTAAGCTCCGCCCATCAAAACACACAAAAGCTGTCGTTCGGCAGTAAAAACATCATGCAATGTTTGTTTCTTTTTTTTTTTTCTTTTTTTAGCGCGTGGTTAACGAAAGTTCTACCGCGAAAAAATAGTCTGTGCACGACGAAATCTTGCTGCGCGTCAAATCCCGCACTTTCGGAGTCTGACCTATACTCCGAAGCTCCGCCTTCAGCGCGAGCTCGCTGGCTTCCGCAGTGCTTTGGTTGTGCGTGCCTGCGCGTTCACACTTGTGTTAGCAAGGGAAGAAAGCTCGCACTTCTAGTCTCAGCTTAAAGGCGATAGGAGCGCGTGCTGATGGCGAGCTTCCACAGTTATTTTGCAATGTGCATTCCGCACCATCAAGAGCGCCGGTCTTAGCAGCCTATTGACGTGAGCTCGTTCTGAGCATGCGCTCTAAACAGCACCCACAAATATGGCGTCAAGTGAATACTTCCTATAGACGTTTTCCGTTTCCTTTCGTTCTCACTCACATGGGTTCCAGTTCTGGTATGAGGGACGAATAAATAATAAGACATTTCAACCTGAAATATGCGAGAGGATATAGGTGAGGCAAAACAAGAATGTGTGACACTGGCGCATTTTTCGTGGACATTTTCCAACGGCATGGAGAGATCAACACGATGTTTTTGACGCATACCAGAAGGCACGACATTCAAGATGGTTGCGCCCTTGTGGAAAGGATGTATAGTTCCGTCCTAAGCTCCCAGAAACCATATTATAGTCACTGACAAGGTAAGAACGGCAGGGAGGAGCGTCAGTCATCCCGCTCCCAGGGCGAGCTTCGTATCTTCGACAACGTTTCGGCGTCTCGCGCAGCAAAGCACAACGAAAGGCATGTAACCTCGGGCGTTCGAAAGACACGCCCTGCCGTTCTCATTCTTTCGGTGACTATGCCGAAGCTCGAAACGTCGTGATGACCAGCGGAGTCGGCTTGCAAACAGAAAGAAGAGAAAGCGAGGAGAAGTGGAGCGCATACCAACCAGAGCGACCACACTCGCCAGACCCAAGATCATGATTATCATCTGAAAAGCGTCTGTCCACACGACCGCCTTCAGACCGCCCTGCAGGGGGAAAAAAACATCGGCAGTTGAATTATCGCTTAGCTTCAGTTATGAAAGTGGGGACACGATAGTATATCTAATTTCAGGCTGGCAAATATTCCAGAAACATTAACTTCCATAGAGGTTAAGCTGCTTCGTTGGATAACCTCCACATCTCAAATACCAGGGCTCATAAATATTCCAGAAACATTAAATTCTGTGGAACTTGTTTCGTTAATGATCTCTACGTCCCGAATTACTTCAGTATTGACTTGCTCGCCGTGCTGAATTACGGCATTCGTGGAAATTGCCTTTGTTCGCTGGCACTGAGTTATCAGATGCCTTGCGTCAAATAAACGGAACGACATTTCTTGGATGTACACTGAATAGCCGAAACACCGTGACCACCCCCACATTATGGAAATGAGCGCGCCTACAGCTGGCGCGTCATCCGCGTTATCTACCATCTTCTGATTTGGATGGTGGATGACAACTGCGAGGGGCAGGGAGGTATCATTTGGTCCACTAGGTGTGCATGTAATGAGAAAGGTTGCTGATGCAAGCAACTATGACAAAGGGCAGATCGTGATGTCAAGATCATTGCTGACCATGCTACACCTATTCGTGGCTTGTCTTCCTCGTCGTGACTAAACTCACCCTACAGGTCAACGCTCCGTGCGACTAGGCCAGCATTGTGCTGCTGTGAACTGAAGAGCATGGTGATGAATTCCAGTTGATGTCCTGATCGTACAACTTGTTAGATATCAGTCCTGACTATTGAGCACATCTGGGATGTGCTCAATACAGCTCGGAGCTGACAAACCACCTCCTCGTAATCTAATTGCGCGACCTGTGCCTGCAAATCTGACACAATCTTATTCGAGGCACTGACCAAGTGCCTGTAGAATCCATGTCAAGATGGGTTGCAACTGTTTTGCGCGCCAAAGGTGGATGAACTCGGTATTAGGTGGGTGGTCAGAAATGCTTTTGGCTGATCAGTGTATATACGAGACGTGAAGTGCGAGCTTGCTTACAATTGGCATCATTATTTTGAACTAATCTGGCACGTATTGAAACAGATAAATTCGGAAGAATTAATATACGAGTACTTTAGAAGATAACGAGATAGAGCTACATAACAAACTCGAATGTCGACGGTCCCACAGACAGTATCACAAACACGCGGGTTTTCGTTTCTGTCTCTTAAATAAACAGATAAATTGCAGATCCCTGCTGTAGATCATGTTCGTCTGCATATCGGAGGGAGGTGGCCTAGTATTCATAAATACATTTTTACATGGTATAAGAGCATATGCAAGCATATTGTATGTACAGTGCTAATCACACTTGTCTATAACGCGCAAACGTGCAGCTTTCTCCGGGGAGCGCTAGACTGGTGGCATTCGTGGAAGCTAAGCTAGTCACGTGGAGCAACATGGAACGGCCCGCTCGAGGGGTGTCCTTCCCACTCTATCAGCTGGCGGCAAACGCGGAAGGCTGCTCGCACGCTTTTTACAAACATCATTGCTCGAACAATAAAGAAACTAAAGCATAGAGGCGTATCAACGATGTCGTCATCAAAAAACAAAAATGTATCATAACGCACTTTACTTTTATCGCTTGCCAAGCTGGCATAAGGCTTGCTACTATGCAAAAAAACAAAATTACATCAATTGACCGGATTCAACACGACTTCGCATAGTATCGAGAAAATCCTACAGGACTGGACTGGAAAGCACTGATCGCCGACAATGACACCACCGACAATGACACCACAAAGACGTCCGAACAAGGATAGTCGGAATAAGTGAAGCGGGGTTGTCCCAGCTGATAGAGTGGGCAGGACACCCCTCGAGCGGGCCGTTCCATGTTGCGCCACATGACTAGCTTAGTTTCCGAGAATGCCACCAGTCTAGCGCTCCCCGGAGAAAGCCGCACGCTCGCGCGTTATAGACAAGTGTGATTAGCACTGTACTTTGCGGGTTTCCCATATGTTGAACTGACAATCAATTAGTACTTTTTTCTTTCATTTCTCAAATACATTTTACGTGAGAGGACGACGCTGTAACGAGCCGCTTTCTAAAAGAAACAACAAACAAAACAAAAAGCTACAGAAAGAATATTTAAACATCATTGTGCCGCATCTTTCAGAAACAAACGTTCGTTCTGGTCAGCTCATTTTGAAGCTTTGGGGTTTAGTAGTATGTCGTTGGTGAGCTTTTATATGAACTGTTCGCTTTTTGCTTTAGTTTTTTGCTTTCCTATATGCTACTATCCTCCCTTTTTGCTGGCCCCCCTCATGTAATGCATCATCAGACGTCTTCGAGGCAAATAAATGGAACTAATGAAATGAAATGAAAACAAAAACTTGCAAGAGAGTTTCAATTTCAGAATTTTTACTCATCTTTGATAATAATATCTTCATAATGATAACACTGACTTCGATTGCGCCCGACAAATCGATAACATATATCCAGTCATCTATATCGTTCCTAAGAAAAATTCTCACACACTGAAGATGGCTGCCGTGAAACTGCGTTTTCGTCACAAGTTTCTTTGCACCAATAAAAAAAAAAGTGTCCTCACCAGCACAGTATAGAAAGTGCATATCAATCCCAGGAACACAATGGACGTCCACACAGGCATACCGGTAACTAGAAAAAAGATTCATGAGCAACAACTTTAGCGAAGTGATTATGGCATCCTTCTTCTATATATATTTTTTACGCATGGGCTCATACAAAATATATTTTCTAATAAAATCGAAATAAAAAAAAGCCGAGAAAGCTAGGTAAATGCAATTAATCAATTAACTATATCTTTAGTGAAAATAAACGTATATGCTTACAATTAGAAACTTGCTGATCGTCCTGAAAAAACACTAAATTCTAGAAAGAAGCGCGTGCGCTGGAGTTACCACTCGTAACTTTAGTGCGCTAAAGTTACCACTCATGCAACAGGCCCAAACCTGGCGGCGATGAAAAGGCGAATGATGTGGGACGGAAAAACCGAGCGGGCGCGTTTTCGCACCCACCGTATCGTGCCTGTTGAGCGAGTGGTACATTTAGCGCAACACATATGCTTCAAGTCTTTCTAAAATTGACCGATTCAGTTGTTTTCGATGACGCTCAGAAAGTCTGCATTTGGAATCATACGTATTTCTTCACTAATTAAAAAGTTAATCGAGCGTATTTTGTCAATGAACCGACTTATCGTGAAGATTTGCCCCCTATATTATTGACCCCCAGCCGCATAATAACTCACCTGCACAGTCAGTCCTCATTTGTGTAGGTTTTACTTTTTTTTTTAACGGAATAAAAAGAAAAAGTTTATGTATACGTTTCTCGTTTTTTTTTAAAGGGGCGACGCAACAATTTTTGTACTTTGCGCAAATACCGTTAAAAACGGATCCCTGACGCTAATGACCTATAAAACACGCGTTTGTTTTTCACCCCACGCAATAGAAGTCTCCGTAAAATATTAAAGAAAAACGAGCAGCGTTCACACCCTCAACTCGCAGTCAGAACAAGCGGCCACGTGATCTGGAGCCGATTATATGCCGCCAATGTTGATCATAGCCACGCGCTGGGGCTGGCAAAGCACAGGGCACGCGCTGAGCTCCAGACATTGTTATGGCTCGGCTATCGTCGTCGTTGCAGCGGTTGGACACGGACCACTACCCGAATGCTTCTCGAGCTAGTAATTATCACGACCCTAAATCGAGTGCGCACGCAATGCTCGGGTCCAATCTATGAACCGCATTCAAATATCGTCACTTGGGGTGTACTGCGATCCCCGAGTTACGTCATCAAATTTTGCAAAGGAGAGATTGAATGAAAATGATCGCTTTTGTCTTTGAAATTACACCGCAACAAAGGAGTTTCTTGGCCAATGGTGTTGCGTGCGAGTATCCTTGTGTCCCACTAGTGCCAGTAAGCTCGTGTAGAGAGAAAAACATTCCAATTGATTATCATTGCACAGCTCCTTTAAAAGAGATTTTTGTAGTTATTTTAAGGCCTAGTCGTACATTTTTGTACTTGGTCCACGAGCATGCTAAAAGTCGAGCATTTTAATTGGTCGAAGGAGGTCAGCGAACGACCACGACACCGATCACGAAAAAGCTTAGCCCCGCCCCCTGAAACACATTCCTGGCCACACTACTGATCGAGAGTTTCAGTAGTTCGTTCAGGTGCCTCCAATAACGACGCCCGAAAACGATACTAAGCATGCGCAAAGGTGTCGGCGGAGTATCGGGTACCGTTATCGGAGTTATCGGAACGATCTACTAAAACTCCCTAAAGCGGCCTGTACCGTAAAGCCGGGATCACACTGCTTATACATCATACAAAAGACAGTCTGCACGCACATTCGAACGCGAGCCACCGCGAGATCCGTGCTTCGAATGCCGCATGGCATTGAGTTCAGGTAGGAAACTCGGCACGGCGGCATTCGAACCACGGATATTGCGGTGACTCGTGTTTCCAGACTGTCTTTTGTCTAATGGATGAGCAGTGTGACCCCGGTTTAATTCAGGGTCCTTGAAGGGCATTCGCGCAGTACGAGCGCGGGTCAGTACTAGCGGCGAGATGTTTTAGTGGCGCCCTCCTACGGTTCCCCCTTGTGACGTCATTACCTTGCGAACAACCAGTTCGATGGTGTTTGTAGATAGCATGGTGGAAGCCTAAAATCATTGCGCTCTCAAAGCAACACTGCCAACACCGTCAAAACGAAAGTTTTTTCATTCCTGTTATTTCCGTCGATGATAAATCCTTTTCTGACGTCATAGTCAGCGTTCGGCCAATCGTGGAAGGCCGAGCACAGCGACGCTTTCGGTCGCGCACGTCGCCAATAGCAAAGCGCCGTTCACACACTTGCAAGCGAGTAGGACGGGGAGAGACAACACCGGGTTTTAAGCCTCTTGCGACGTCTTAGGACCGGATGCGCTGCTGCGGAGCTGCTCCTACGACGTCGCAAGAGGCTCAAAAACCGGTCTTGTCCCTCTCAGTCCTACTCGCTTGCAAGTGTGTGAACGAGGCTCAAGGCTCAGGTTCACACGCCCGCGTTTGAGTGTTACCGACCGGGTTGCATTGCAACTGATCGGGAACGCTTGTGACGAGAGATAAAACTGGCGCCATCTATCGGCTAGCACCTGAACACTTTCCATCTGCGTATACATCCCGCGTCATAATCTTTCACGTTGTGCTCGAAATAATTTTCACAATTTTATCGGAGCCCGTTTCTCCTCGATAGTCCGGAAATTCGGTACCGAAAATACAGCCAAAATCTTCGATGCATAGTTATACGATGACAGGGAGTGTTCCAGGACTGCCTCATGAATGGCGTCAGTGTGCCAGTGTGTTCTTTGGATAGATGGACGCTAAACGCTGTACCCTTTATAACGGGAGGTAGCTTGCGCCACCTAGCCTAGAAAACAAAAGTATGATTTTTTTTTCTCCGCGCCGATTTCCTCCCTCTGTGTCTTTTTGGAACTATCAGCAGGTAGTGTGGGATAGTGCCAGAGTGATCTTTAAGGAATCGAGCAAAAGAAAAGAAAGCTAGCGTGTCTAGATTTTATCGTTTCCAACTGGTCGATCGCGGTCACGTGGTTTTGGGGACCGCGTTCGCAATAGGAGATGCGAGGAGGAGCCGAACGCGCAGATGCGCAGACCGCAAGCGTCTCACGCCTTTGCGCACCTTCTCCGCCCGCTCTCCTCTTCCCCAGGCAGCAAACTCACGCGTGCGGATAAACAATCTGCGCAGGAGGTACTCGCCATTAAGTTGTCGACGCTTTCCATACATCGAGTTGCTCACTGTCTTAAAACTAAGCTCTCCATACTCGCTGTCACATAAAAAGAAAAGAGAAGTTGTGCGCATTATGTATGCGCTGCCCAAAGACGTTTTTACAAGATTTGGCTGTTGGAGAAAGAAACAATGATTTTGAAGTTCGAAACGTGTACGTCTTGATAAAATAACGGTAAGCTAATCTAAAATTCACTCACATATATTTCAATTCACCACATAGAGTAGTAAATCAGTAATAATCCGCGAGTAGCCGGACTTTTTTTTTTACTACAGTTTTCGAGGTGAATGCGAGAATGGTGTTCAGTCGTCGTTACCGTTCACGAGTGGTTGCAACGCGGACGATCGTACTCAGGAGTAAACGTTCGTGCATTAGCCTTGAACGGCAATTTCACGTGAAACAGCGCGACAAACGGCAACAACCAACACCGACGCCAACATCCATGAGCAACACTTTCGTTGACAGGCCACATGTTTGACGGAGTTAGACGTCCAACTTGGAGGACAGTACACAAGGACACCTGGGGAAGCTTTCGTGCTGTGACAGATGTCTGCGACATATGTCACAACAACAAACAGTGGAAAAAAGAAATCGTGATGATTGTTTCTTGTGAAACGAATATTTAGAAATAAACTGCAGTTTGTACGTCCATTGTCATCTTTTCGTATGACCTTCCATAGTGAAGCATGAACAAGCGCTTCACAACTCGAGCAATTCATTCTTCTTTGCTTCTCGAAGTTTATTTTCGATCTCGAGGAGACCCCGATCCAGATGGCTCAGAACCGACCATTCGAGTGGAACGTCATAAAATCGAAATTTCGCCATGTCATCATACCAACTCGCCCAAATTACAACACTTCTACAAAATCAAAATTTCGGATGTCGGTATTTGGAAAAAAACGCGAAGCGTGATTTTTATCGAGGGGCTTCTGACAAAACCTCCTCGAGTTATTGAAGGACTTGCATCCCAAGTGCACAACAACTCGAGGCATTGTACACGCAACCTGAGAAGCAGCAGAGCCGACGGGAACATCCCATTAAAGCACGCTCTTGGCACGCTCCAGTCCCGAATAAATCTAAACTTTTCTCGACCGCTCTCACAAACCCCGGGGGTAGCACGAGTGTGTCGGGTGTGCAACGCATCCAAAACCACCCAAAGCTTCCTGCAAACAAGCATCATCAGGCACGCGTAATCCACGCACGCATCGTGTGTTCCCCGGGTTTATCACAATGATCGAAACAAGATTACTTTTGTATTAATGTATAGCTATAGTTCCACGTTGATCGTAAAGAGATGACGAACCACTTACCCGATTCTAAAGCCACAGAGGGGCCGTACAAAACCACGCCCATGTACAGCAGCTGCGCAGACGAGGGAACCACAATCTCAGTCACCACAAATGTCGAAAGCCGAAATCCGCGTACGCATTTAATAGTTTCGATAGCGCCACATCGATCAACAGTGAGCCGACCAACCATTCCTTGGTACAGTGGTCAGCACAAACACATTTTGCAAACTCTACTACAAAAAACACACACACACACACGAAAAAAAAAACACTGTCTGCGTTGGCGGTTATAGCTGTCTGCGCGACTGCTGAGCGAGAGCTGACGGCGAGGTTCCGCAGCACTTTTGCAACGTGCATTCCGCACCATGAAGGTTGAAGGTCTTAGCCTATTATTGTGAGCGCGTTCGGAGCATGCGCTCTAAACAGCGCGCTCAAATACGGCGTCCAGTGAACACGCCTTATACGGTCTGGTTGCCTACCCTTTGCCTGGATTCACTGGTTGCAGTGACTGGTCATTGACGTAATCCGAGGGAAAGTATGTGACATCCGGGCATTCCTTCGAGTGCGCAGAGGCCCCGGCTAAAGGCAGCTTTCTTAAAGGGGCGGTGTAACAATTTTTGTGCTTTGCGCAGGCACCGCTTAGAACGGATCCCCAAACGTTAATGACTTATGAAACACGCGTTCGTTTTTCACCCCACGCAATAGAAGTCCCAGAAAAAAATAAAAGAAAAACGAGCAGGTTCACCCCCTCAACACGCAGCCAGAACAAGCGGCCACGTGATCTGGAGCCGATTATATGCCGCCAATGTTGATCATAGCCACGCGCTGGGGTTGGCAAAGCACAGGACGCGCGCCGAGTTTCAGACATTGTTATGGCACGGCTATTGTCGTCGTTGTAGCGATTGGACACGTGCCACTACCCGAATGCTTCTCGAGCTAGCAATTATCACGAGCCCAAATCGAGTGCTCACGCAATGCTCGGGTCCAATCTATGAACCGCATTGAAATATCGTCATTGGGGTGTACTGGGATCCCCACGTTACGTCATCAACTTTTGCAAAGGAGAGATTGAATGAAAATGATCTCTTTAGTCCTTGAAATTACACCGCGACAAAAGAGTTTCTTGGCCAGTGGCGTTGCGTGCGAGTATCCTTGAGTCCTGCTAGTGCCAGTAAGCTCGTGTAAAGGGAAAAACATTCCAATTTAATATCGTTGCACCGCTCATTTATTTATAGCTTTCATAAAACTTACTGTGATCAAAATAACTGGGTAAAGCTCGTATAGTAAGACCACTCAAGCTCGCGGCACCAATATTCCACCTGTCATGTAACACCCATAGGCTCTGACCACATGATGTTAAAGGGGCACTGACAGGTCAAAATCATATTTCACTTTATTATCCGAAAAGACTGAAAACCATGCCTGGACATTACCCTCAAAGTTCGAAGCTTGGGAACTCAGTATGTCTTAAGTAAAGAAAACAACTTCCAAAAGCCGACTTTGAAGTTTCCGCGCGATCCGCTTCAGCGCAGTGACGTCAAAGACTCAGTCGTCCTGTAACTTGAGTTTCTCTCACGACTCCGAACCGCCCCGACCGGAAGTGTCGTGTTCGCCAGCGTCCCGCGATCAGCCGCGCTTCTCCAGGCGTGCCACCTATTGCTGAGAGCAGACGACGCTCCACTTCCGAGTTGGAAATTCTTTTAGGGCCCTTTCAGCGATCTCGAATTCTTCGAAACGGTTAAGGTCCAAGAGAACGCGCAGTGGACTTTTCTGAGCGACGTGAGGGGCCACGTCGCGCCGGTTCTGCGTGAAAGGCCGACCCGGCAGTCAAAACCGAAACTACGGTACACAGACACTGAGTCCAGTTGTTTAGGCTGTTTGTAGATATCCCTTTTGAAGTCAGGGAGGTTGTCGGGCACCGAAAAGAGAACTTCGCCCGATTCACCGACTCCCCGATCATCCTCAATGCAACATGTGCCGAGCGCCGCCGTGTTTTCCGAGGGAGGATAAAAAGCCAGGTGGCGCCATCACTTCCGCCTGACTCCGATTTTCGGTATTTCAAAAAGAAGGGCCGTAGTGCGCTCGCAGTTGCGTTAAAAACATGTTTTACGAATGCCGTTATTAAATATTACAGAAATGTCGCTTACAAAGCTTCTGAATTTCATAATCAATTACGTCACAAATAAAACGAAGTTAGGAGGTGAGAAGTGCGAGAAAAATATGTCAAAATAAAAAGGCGCGCGCACATGTGGGGAATTTTTTTTTTTTTTTTTGCGTGTCTGAGATTACAATTTGCATCGTTTTTTTAAACAAGAGAAAAAAAAACTACGACCTTTGGGGTGTAGTGCCCATCTAATCCGTCATTTGTTCGTTATATGTCGACACAATGTTAAATGCTACCGTGCACAATTGGTATTTAAAGGGGTAAAATGGAAGCCCGGGCGGCCGGCTTCGGCAGGTGCTGCTAATAACAACCAAATTGTGGACGGAATTATATTTAGCACCTTACAGAACTTGCGGAAACCATCAGAGCCGACTAGATTTGAAAGGAACTGTTTTCGTGGGGGCACTCGTGCAACCTGGAAACGTTCGTGGTAAGCACTAACGCGCGCACACGACGTGAAACAGTTAGCGCGAACAGGAGATCGGCGCTTTTTCGCTTACAACTCATACGAGGCAGTCACCAGTTACTAACATCATACTTTACCGGGTAACAAGGTGCATTGGGAAAACTAATTCAACCACACTACTTATTTTAATAGCAACATTTCCGCTATACCAAAAAAAAAAAGGAAAACGGGATGGCGTGTTTGTGTTTACTGCGCAGCACTCTAGTTTTCACAGCGTGGAATTCAACTCGTAGAGAGGAGTACACGTGGCTTGCACGTGACATCATCGCACCATGTTAATGTATGTTGCATGTTAAGAAAAGCAGGACAGGCTCCTCCCGCAAGGCCATCCCCTCTTTCCACTTTAGCAGGGCGAACGCCGGAGAGGAGGCGAGTGGCCTCGCCTCCTCTCTCACCTCTTCTCGAGCGTTTGCACCCCTGAGGTGGGACGAACGGATGGCTTTGCGGAAGGGAGCTTGTCCTGCTTTTCTCATCTGCGACAGTGTATATATACTGTCGAGACCGGTATTAACGAGGTCAACGGGAATCGCAAATCACTTCGCTATATCCGTTATTTCGTTATAATCGACTTCGGTTATATAGAAGTGCAAAAGGGAATGGGAAATCGTGATCGCTTTGCTGTAGCCGCAATTTCGTTATAACCGGTCTCGACGTGGTAATCATTCCTACACTTTCTTGTAAAAAAAAAAATCGATGGTGCGAATTACATGTTTCAGAACGTACACGCTCAGCAGCAAGGCCACCACAACGGCCGCTGATGCGACGTCGCCGCAAGCAACGTACAAATGTGGCTGGCAAGGCTCGTACGATGTTCCATCGTGGGCGTCAGCGCGTGCAAGAGGCCTCGATGCACTCACCGTGTTGATGATGAACGACAGCGAGCCCAAAGTTCGCACAGCTCGGGACCGAAAGCGCCTCTCCAGGTACTAAAGAAAAAAAGAAGGAAAAAAAAAAAAAGAAGAAACATGAGAGGTTGTGACAGTGAAAACGTACGGGCAAATAATGAGGAAGAGAAGGGGAGGAGAGCGTGCGAGGACGTCAGAGGGTCGATCTCTCATTGGAAGGATCAGTGGGTAGACGCAAAGGCTACCTGCCTTTATTTTTAACCACTCTCTCCCTACAGCCGGGGCCAACAAGAGCGTCGTCTGCTCCTCCCACAGGGTCTGACTTTCGAACGCCGAAAACCACAGTGGGAAAGGGTAGTAGTAGTAGTAAGCGTTGTAGGTGAAAGGGGGGGGGGGTGTTTGAGCCAATCGTGTGCGCTCGCTGTGTGCATTTGTCACTGGCTCAGCGGGAACAAACAAAGGCAGCTATCCTTTGCGTGTATCCACTACCCTTTCAATCAGAGCTCGGTTCTCTGATCTCACTGCACGCTCTCATCTCCTCCTCTCCCTCAGTTTCTCTCCGTATTGTTCTCGAATGTGTCTATAATCAATTTCAATTATGACATCCTGTATCGCCCCTCCCCTCCCTTCATGTGCATGCACGCACAGCACGCACGCGGACTTAACCGTGGCAAGCAAAGACATCGGTGTGGCCCAGCTGGAAGTTCGGCATAGGGTTGTTCACGCAAAAAAGGGAAACCGGAAGAGAGTCAATAGGGAGTTTTCGTAGATGGTTTCCGCCGTCCCATAACGCTCTCCGCAACCCGGTACGATACTCGTAACTCTACAGCCAAGGCCATCGGCGCGCAGGCGCAGCAGCGGCTGCTTCGTTGCGGAGGGCTTAGCGGAGGGGCAAACGCGGTCTACGAAAACTCCCTAATCATACACCTGTGAATAGGGGATACCTACGCGCTGCCTGAAAGTACTACATTGATATCGCTCAAATAATAACTAGGAAGGTGCCACGTGAACGCATTGAAGGTTCGTTTTTGACAGCGGGTAGGCCGCAATGCACACAGAAATTGCAACGAGCGAACAGGATATCGAGCTTGAGCGCCAGAGCAAAAAGTAAAGATGCGCGCTTTAACTTAAAAAAAAGAAGAGATCAACAATGCAAATTCAAGTTTACATTTGACTCCCTTTTGTTTATTTTTTTTCTCTCTTTTTATAAGGGAAACTGGCCTGCACTTATAAATGTGTCAGGGATATGAGATTCTCACAAGGATGTCTTCTTTTTTTTTTTTTTACATAAATCTTACTCGCATGAACAATATATCATCAGGTATAGCTCATGCGCAGACTTGTGCCAGTTACTTGAAAAATGTTATTGATTACGATCACAGATTACTCAGCCTTAAATGTATTACCGTCACTCATTAATTCCATATAAATGTAGTTGATTAGTCGCTTCGTTTCATGTTACATTCACGTTACAGCTCGTATACTTCTCGAGAAATAAATGAACAAAAATGTTGTGTTTCCATGAATTCGTATTGCGATACCACTTTCGGTGTTCCACAGTGCCACATTATTGCGACCGTTCTAAACAATAAAGAATGAGAGAGAGATATTTCATCTTATTAGTCGTTGGCTCCAGGCCGCGCACGGTGCCTTCCGTCGTGCTTCAGTTGACCATATTTCGGAGTCGATAATATTTCGGAGTCGTGAGACTCCGAAATATTATCGAAGGTAGAAAGCCGAGAGCGCGGGATTTGGCAGAGCTCGGTCTGGTTGGGCTGGCGCTGAAGTACATAAAATAATTTTTATTAATGTCATACACTCGTGCTCATGACGCTCCCACAACGGTGACAAGGAATTCGTCGAACGGCGTTTTATCGACATATCGTTTCGTCGACACTGCAGCGGTTCATCGACAGTTCATTTCATCCAGGTATATCTGCACTCGCTTTATCGGCACATCTTGCAACGTTTTGTAGACAGCTTCCGTCTGTGCAGATCGCCTCGAAAACCAGAATCCTAATTTAATTTGCCGAACCCTCGGCGGTTCTGACGATAATTGTCGTAAGCCCAAGGCTAAAATATATCTTTTTTACTTGTTTTTTTTTATCGAACGGAGAAGAGCGAAGCGCGTTGTGATCGAGCGCAGGAGCTATGGCACAATCGACAAACACAGAAAAACAACAACAAAAAAGTACTGCTAGCTTACAAAGTCTCAGACACTTTACATCTATGCGCACACACGATATAAAATTAAAAAAAAATAAAAAAATTGAAAAGCCCGCTACAGTTTTGTTGAGCAGGAACCAGTTTTACAACGATGCAGACATCCAAAAAATTTGGAGCCATTCCACTTCGTGAAGGTGGTTGGCCAGCGAAGCTGTAGAGCACCACCAGAAATGATTCACGAAATGACACACAAAAGCACTTCACCAAATGTTTATTTACAGTATATAAACATCATTTTGAAACGGTAGGAATGATCGCTTTGAGATACGTATAATATACACTAATGGGTTTCATTACAACTTTGCTCGGATTTTTAGCTAAAGTTAAATGATGGCGCTCGTCATAGGCACGTTGCTCTTCGAGAGTCCTATACGTGGCCTTCCCATAGCAACTGCAGAACACAGTGGAATGCCCTGCTCGGCAGCCGCTGCTTTTGTGCATGTAAAGCAGAGACGTCACCCGACTTAAACGGGAGAATTAAGACCCATTGTTCTCGGATGTATCTCCATTATCACACGTTTCGACGTCTTTCCTTATCAAAATGCATATCGAGGCGACGAAGCGGATATGCATTTCCATACAACGAAGCGCTTTTACGTGCAATTTCTAACTTGTCCGTGAACACGAATACCAAAATGCATGGAACCCTACCCATATACACCTTCGCTGTATATGGCTACCTTACAAAGCAACGCGTGAAAGCGCGAACCTGGTTCAGACGGTGGCGAAGGTGGCGCACCTTTTGTAGCGTCAGCTACAATGGCCGATTTCGAGCAGTTTCGCGTGGCTCGCATAATGAGCCGTGCTCCATGCTGCGCATGCGCGAAGAACAGTGACGTCCCACGGCGCACAGCTGGCGCGCCGGAGCCACCGCCGCCGCGCGCACTGCCGCCGCCGCGCCTGCCTCGCCGGTCTGCGCATTCCAGAGAGATGTCAGCCGCGGCAGACTGGCGCCGCCGCGTGCCCAGCTGTGCCCCTCCGTTGCGCAGTAGCCAAGTCTGACGCTGCACCGTAGCCGCTTGATAGCGCCTCTCATTTTGTGCGCATAAGATCACGCTACGTACATCCTGGCATAGCCGAGCTAAGCCACCGCAATGTTTTGCACCTTCGGTCGAAACGGGAGAAGACCCATATGGTGCTTCCGTGTATTTATTGGCTGAACGACAGTCACCTATACGCTCACATAATCGGAGGCGTAAAGCAGCGGTACGCCTCGGTCCAACTTCTTCCCTGCGTTCCAACGTCTGGCGCTGCCCTGAGCCGTCCCTCCCAGCTCAACCGACCCAACGTACGCTTCCACCCCCGACCGGGCGTTCGGGGCGCGCGCACGCTCTACCGCGTAGTCCACGTCCGAATGGTCAGTTTGCCTTCCATTTCACTATCTGCCAGCCACTATACCCCACTTCACCTTACGATGAACTGCAGCGGTCTCCCATCCCAGCCCGCTGTGAATATACCACGCGACTACAGACCCGCGTGCCGCCGCGCCCCTTCCGAAGGTCCCATATGGCACTCAGACACGGCATTGTAGGACTGACTCCGACGGCCCGTAGCGGGCGCTACGATTCATCCTAAGCTAGAACGGAGTGCACACCCTACGACCCGGGGCCAGGATAGACGACACTGCGGTGTGGACCACACCAACGGCCGTGTTGGTCCATTGGTCCAAGAAGAGGAAATGAGAGAATACAACATGCAAGCTCGCTTCCTTGGCGTGCAGAAGGTGGCCAGCGACCGGATCCTCCCTTCCCCCTTCCTCCCCCCCCCCCCCCCCCGCCCCCAATTAGAGAGAAAAACTAAACAGTAGCAAAGAAAGCAGTATTGCACAATAAAAGTTTAGTTGGAGCTAATTACTTACCAAGTCCGCCCATGACAGTTGATTCATGCCAGAGTTCTTAACTGTACATAATCTACCACAATTTGAATATGAGGCAAAATTTCACCCTGTTTGTTCGCGATTTTGTACAAAAATAACCAACAAAGCTAAAAACAAGCTGTTTTCTCCTAAAAACGGTTGGCACGTGAAAACATTACCAGACTGAGTGAAGCAACAGTTTTTAAACAATGGTCAAAAGTTTTCCAAAAACAAAAGCGAGTTTTTTACGTATTCCACCACGCGACACTTCAAATTTATTTTCTGTAAATATGCGAGGATCAAATTTTTTAAAGCTTAGTTTCGTCCATTGCAAGAACTAAGCTATCACATTTATTGTTTTCAGAAAAAAAAAAAATCTAAGGACCCTTTTTCACCTTTTCCCATATTTCCCCAAAAATTTGGTCGAATTCACATCAAACCACCCACTAGGAAGGATCAATTAGTAGTAGGCGCTTCGCGTAGTAATACATGATCCACACACGAAGAATTATTTAACCCAAGTCATTCGTGTTACCTAGCGATAAGGACTTCGAGCGGCGCAGTGTTCAGGAATGTCTGCAGAATAATCTGACCATATTAAGTAATGCACAAGTTCTTTTTATAACTTGGTGTAGTCCAAAAACACGAGTCTTCACATGGCGTTGCACAACCATATACAACAATCTTCCTGTTGGAAAAAAAAAAAAAAAAGAGTAGGTTTTTCCTAACCCAACAATTTCTTTTCTTGTCGGTGTGTTTCAAAGTATGCCGCAATTTGCCACCTTTAAGGCCCCGCGCTCGTATTATCCCATGGAAATACCGGGTTCCTCTTGTTTGACCGCCGAGAACAGGAAAAGCGAAGTGCAGAGAATAGGATGTCCCAGCTGCGGCTTCGTCGCGGCACGTAGAGAATCGTGACACGGTTTCAAAGTGGTCTTGAGGACATCGCCGGCTGACGTCGTACACAGTCGTAATCACTACTTTAGTACGCAAAGCAGTA